CAGTATTTCTTGTGTCCTTTCTCAAGGATTTTCAGATGGATTTGTCTCAGGAGTGATGAGCATTTCTGGAAATATACCAAAGCAAGATTCTACCCAAAATTACATCCACGCAACACAGAGAATGGCTGCCCAGGCATTACCTGAGCCAAATTTGGCTGTTCCCTGGACTGAAATATTTGATGTAGCTCATGCTGTGGCTCATGTCCAGTGTGTTGAGCATCCTCACCAGTGGTTCCTTATACTCAGTGAGAAAGTTTTCTGGTGCCCCATGAGCCATCACAGACGTGTTTCACTTTTTGGGAAGTGCTGGTTTCCTTGCTTGACTTTCTTTGCTGGGATACAGTAACAATTTGACCATAGATCCCTTATAAAATAATCTCTGACAAACCTATAGATTTATTTCAAATATAGGATCATTGTGCATTTCACACATGCTCTGGGGAAGTTGGCCTGGGAAGTGCTGCACACTCCTACCGCATTAAAAAGAAATTCAGGGATTCACAGAATCACAGAATTGTTCAGTTTGGAAAAGCCCTCTGAGATCAAGTCCAACCATTCCCCCAGCACTGCCAAGGACACCACTGACCCATGTCCCCAAGTATCACATCCACATGGCTTTTCCCTGGGAGCACAGCCTGACTCCGACCTGGCTCCACCCTCCTGTCAGGGAGTTGCAAAGAGCAAGAAGGTCCCCCTGAACCTCCTTTTCTCCAGGCTGAGGCCCCTCCCAGCTCCATCAGCCACTCCTGGTGCTCCAGACCCTTCGTCAGCTCTGTTCCCTTCTCTGGACACATTCCAGCTCCTCAATGTCTTTCTTGTCCTTAGCAGCCCAAATCTGACCCCAGGATTCAAGGTATAACCTCAACAGGGGGAATTTTTTTTTAAAAAAACCATACCAGTAACAGAGGAACATGAGACTGGAGAGGACCTTCTCATTCTCCGCATCCACCTCTCAGCCACTACAGCCGTGGTCCAACTGCATTTCAACATTACTAAAATCCTCAGCATTTTCCAGTGTTATTATCATGGTCAAAGCCCTGTTTAATCACAGCTTCCATCTGGCACGCACTTCAAAAGGGCCTCCTCCTTTGGATTTATCTCTTTAACTTCACTGGTGAATTTTCCATCACAGTGAATTTCCTGTCTCTCAGCCTGGAGGATGATTGCATTTGCATAAGACTAAACAAATTGGTGTCTTCACGGAGTCATTTTTAGACAAGACTTTACGGTTTTGTTCTCTCAAGGTCAAGCTTTCTCCAACCCTCCCTGGCCTCTGAGGCACAGGGGGATGTTTCTCATCTTGACAAGCTCCCCTTTGGTCAGAGCCCTCTGGAGCCTGTTCTGGAGCTCTCCAGGCTGATTATCTCCTCTATCACCCATTCCCTTCCAATAGATCTTTTAGAGGCTGTCGACCTTCTCCTGCACAGCCATAAATCCTCAACTAACTTCAAGTGTAACAATATGTAGAGATGTTATCCCAGGACTCGGCTGAGCCTTCCGAGGCCCATTATCTCACAATCTTTCCTTTTAAAAGAACATTTTTTGACAGCCCAGTCGTTTTCATCTTTTTTTCTTCCTGCTTCGACCTTGAGTTAGTTTATTCCTTCCTTTGCTGGATATTTTAAATGTTGCATGAAAAAATCCAATTTATTAAGGCTTTCCTATAGTAAATGATTAACCTGAATATAGTTAAATGAAATGCTTATTAACATCTCCCTGCATAATCCATTTAACAGAATTAGTCTTGCTTATTCAGACAACCTAAAGGGGTCTGTGCTTTTGTCTACATGGCATCAGCATTAAAGCTTATAATTATTTCTGGTTAATGCAGCCCTTGGTGTTAGGAAATGCTGGTTTGTGTGTTCCAGCACAGCACTTCTCCTAATCTCTTGTATTAATTAGAGATACTGATATAATATTACTTTGTTCCTTTCTATTCAGCACCAGGAGAGATGTCTGAATATAATCCTATCTGTGTTAAGGGTGTCTTAAATATTTTCACAATGGCTGGCTGGTATAAAACATTAGGATTATGTAGAATAATCACTAAATTAGAAGAAAAAAGAGCACGTGGGCATCCTAGATGTGCACCTGGGACTTTAAGGTCAGTCATGAGATTTTTCCTTCCAAAGGGCTGACCCACCATGTAAATGATGAGATGGTATTTCAGGTCCCTTCCAACCCAAACCAGCCTGTGAATCCATGATCTCAGCTCTTCAGTGGTGCTGCTCTGTGTGTGGCTCAGCTGCATGTTACTCCCTCACCCACAGGGATGCAGCTGCTCGGGCTCTGAGGAACATTTAATGACTTATCCATTAGCAGGAAAGGAAATTATTGTCCCTCCATGACTGAAGCTGACATTTTAAACTTATTGCGTCTGTCTTCTAAGTCCTGGGTCATTTTATATTTCAGACATCAGACTTTTTATCAAGCTCATTTTAATCTTCTTCTAGGTGGAAATTCACTGTCTTTTAAGGTGTTTTAAAGTATCATTACCAGGGCTCTGAACTGAATTTGCTCATCATCAGCTCATAAAATCACAGAATCACTGAGGTTGGAAAAACCCTTCCAGACCATCGAGTCCAACCATTCCCCAGCACTGCCAAGGCCACCACTGACCCATGTCCCCAAGTGCCACATCCACATGGCTTTTCAATCCCTCCAGGGATGGGGACTCCACCACTGCCCTGGGCAGTTGTGCCAGGTCTGGACAGCCCTTTCCATGAAGAAATTCCTCCTGATGTACAACCTGAACCTTCCCTGGCATAGCTTGAGGCTGTTTCCTCTCTCCCGGTCCCTTGTTCCCTGGGAGCAGAGCCTGACTCCCCCCTCCGGCTCCACCCTCCTGTCAGGGAGTTGCAGAGAGTGAGAAGGTCCTCCTGAGCCTCCTTTTCTCCAGGCTGAGCTCCCTCAGCCACTCGTGGTGCTCCAGACCCTTCACAAGGGTTAGCACAAGGGGAACCAGACCGTTTGACCTTGGTTTCTATTGAGTCACCAAGGTGGTGTTCTGGAGGAGAATCCTTAACTCTCTGAAGGCCAACCACTTTTCCTTTCCCTCTTCATGCACCAAAAGCTTCACAGGCTGTAAAATCAGTTATAAATGTCATGCTCTATTGTAATGGTGGTGACAGGGATTATGTAAAAGCCCAGGATAGCTGTGGATGTAATCACAGACTCAAATAAATCCAGCTTTATTTAATGCCTGATCACACATACCTGCACCATTATCTTCCTCCATGAATATTAAGACTGTGACTGTGTGTGTGTGTGTGTGTGAAACAATGACAGGGTAAGATTTCAAAGGGGGGGAAAGCAGATGTTTTAGGCTATTTTCAAATGTTTAAACCTTTTCATTTATTCCTAAACTAAGGGCTTAGTCTGACACAGTGAACCACCAAAAGCACCATGAAAATTAACAATCCAAGAACAAAGTTCCCTTGCATAGCATTGCACAGCAAATGCTCATGGAAGCAAGGACTGCTTCTTCCTTACCAAAATAATTACTCCTTGTAGATAAAGGACTGAACAGACCATACTAAGAACCTTTAAATTTGTAAATTGTACAACCTTCTTTACTTTTTCAAGTTTGTGAAACACCACAAAAAAAATCTATGAGATTTTATTAAGTTAGGAACAGCAAAGTATTCAGGGAGCCACAGGAAAAGTGATTCAATACTCTGAGGTGGAAAAGGACTGCAGAAGCTTATTAATTTTAAAGACCTTTTAAGAGCCAAGCACAATATTTTAAGCTGTATGTCATGCAGTAGGCTTACTGTGACATCATAATTGATAATTAAACTTCTCCAGATTTGCTTCTCCTTCAGGTTTCTCTCCCATCAAATTCCCCTGGTTAGGCAGCTCTGGGAACCATAACTCTTCTCTATTAATCTGCCCAAGTCAGTGTATTTTTCCCTCATTAACTCACCTTGTACCTTTGTGCTGAAACAATCCAGGTATGATTTAATAAGCCTTAGAAAGACAGTGCCGGTTCATATGCAGGAAATCAGATTTACATAATTTTCCACTGGCTTTTATAGCCACCATAGTTCAAATTATCTTTAAGTTGAGGAAACTCTTTGAATACCATAAAATGAAACAGCACCTGTGCTTTGCTCCTGCAGCCTCGCCTGGGTCTGGTAATAAATTAAAGGTTGGTTTGTCACACTGACTTCACCCAGAAAGCCCCTTTTTAATGAGAGGAGGAGAGTGCCCTGTCCCACAGTTAGTCACGGTTATCAGTTGCTAAACTAAGCTGCAAAATCAAGTTTAATCTTGTTTTGTTTTGGTTTTATTACCCGAACCTTTCTGCGTGGGGGGAAGCCAAATAGATTTTGGTTGTATCACATACTCTTCACCAAATAAAATGTCATACATTAACAACAGATCTCATAGCACTGGTTCTGTACAGATGGAAAAGGGGTGCTTCTGTTCCAGTGTTTGGACTGATCAAGACTTGGAATTCAGGATTATACTTTTCTTGTATTTTCCCTCTCTTTGCATGCAGTTAGTGTGTATTTACTCAGGAATTTGAGGAAGACTTCATGGTAAACAAATAAATACAATTTCTCCAAAGAGGCCAGAAACACATGGGAATGTCTTTGGCTGAGCAAAATTGTCAAACTTTGGCTTTTAGACTTAGGCAAGAAATGAGTTGCTTTCCAACAGAATTAAATCTAGTCCACTCTTATTGCTTTCACTGTAGATCTTAATGCTCAGTAACTTAGAAACAGATCAGTTATTCAGATGGTTAAAAATGAAACGCTCATCTGACACTAAGTACTCCCAAGTTTTAAATGCTTGCCTTAAAAACAATTTATCCTCTTTAAACAAACAGGAATATTCCCTGAGCAGGGTGACAAGAGGGTTGGGCTGCTTTTCCAGTGTTTTCTCTGGTTTTCAGGAGAATGCTTCTGTTGCCCTAAGTATTATCTTAGAAGAATTAATGAAAAGTAAGATTTTAGTGGGAATTTTCACTGAACCCCTTTTCCTTCTCTCTGCAGCTCCCAGTACAGCCCAGTATGGGATCACCGGTGACGCCGAAGTCCTCTTCTCCTGCTGGTACCTTGTGTTGACACTGTCCTCCCTCAGTAGCATATTCTACCTGAAGAACATCATTCTGCACTAAATGTAAAGACCATAAAAGGCTTTTAAGGATTCCCTGAGAGTGCTGATGACTGGCTCCAATCTGGTAGAGTTTGTTAAAAGCAGCGTGGGATATAATCAGCCGTGCTTACATGGGGATGATCGCCTTCTGTAGAATTGCTCATTATGTAAATACTTTAATTCCCCTCCTTTTTTTTTGATTAGCTGCATTACCTTGTGAAGCAGTACACATTGTCCTTTTTTAAGACGTGAGAACTCTGAAATTACTTTTAGAGGATATTAATTGTGATTTCATGTTTGTAATCGACAAGTTTTCAAAAGCATTCAGTCATGGTCTGCTGAGTTGCAGACTGTAGTTTACAAATGAAAAAAGGATATTGCAGTAAAAATGTGCTTCTTTAAGGCTGCAATACAAACATTCAGTTCCCTTCTCAACCACCATTCTCTCCACATTTACACAGAAGCATTTGTTCTTTTTTGAGTAAAAAAAAAAAAATCAAATAATATTGCCTTCAAAGTACTTCTTCAAAATATTACACATATCTAGATTTTCTTCTAGCATGATATTCAGGTTTCAAGAATGAGCCTTGTATTATAACTGCATTGTGCAGTACTGCTTTTGTTCTCTACCCTTTTTCCTGCAAATTCAGCATGGTTGTGCCTTCATAAAACACGACTTTCCTCTTCCTCTCCAACAAATCTGGAATGTGGTTTGGGAAATGCTAAAGCATCCTTTTGAGCATAAGAAATCTCTAGCTGAGGATGAAGGTGCTACAGACTACAAGGAAAACCTCCTCTGCCATCCCCAGGGGGTCCAGAAGCTGCTCCAGACACAGGGTTTAGGTCGAGGGTAGCACCAAGTCCTTTTTGTTTTTACCTCCACCACAACTAACCAGTAGGTGATCTCTGTAAAAATTAGTTTTCCCATTACAAAACAGAACACAAATTATTTTGAGGCATCTTTTGAATGTAGGAAGGTTTCCTGTACTCATCCTAAATCCAAATTCCTACATGACTGTAAATGGCAGAAGCTGAATCGTCCCCTTTTGTATTACTGGCAAAACTGATGGGAATTGGTATTTTTCTTGCACTTAATTTTGTACTGGTTTGGCTAATTTAGCAATGATAAAGGATGCTTTTAAATATTAGATATCTGAAAATACATGAAGTATCAAGCAGAATTTTATATATATACATATATCTATTAAAAGGAAGTTGCTCCAGGAATGGTACTGAAGTGCATGTTGCCGTCCACGGTAGGATCATCCTTCCAGGCAGGACTTGTGCTCACACTGTGCAGGTCCCTCCCCCAGCAGGGCAGTCCCCACACACCATTTCCTAGTCCTGCAGCCCATGAGGATCAAGTTTCAAAACAGTGTATAATGTTGCTTTTATTTTTTAAAACCCCTGGGCAGTGTTAATGTGAAATGTGCTCACAGTTTACACCTGATTTCAAACTGCCATCTGTGGGACTTGCTGGGACATGACTGTGGCCAACAGTCCTTGAATCCCAGATCCCCTGGTGACCCCAAGAGATCTTGACTTGCTCTCAAACAGCTGTTGATGACACGAATAACAAAACCATTATCCCAGAATCCCAGACTGGTTTGGGTTGGGAGGGACCTTAAAGCTCATTCAGTCCCACCCCCTACCATGGGCAGGGACACCTTCCACTAGACCAGGTTGCTCCAAGCCCCATCCAACCTGGCCTTGGACACTTCCAGGGGTGGGGCAGCCCCCACTTTTCACCATGATCATTCCCATGTTCTGTGTAGGAGCTCCAGTAGCTGACACAAACATTACAGTACAACATTAATTCTCCTCACAGCAGGTTTTGGCAGAGAGCAGCACCAGCTGAGTCCTGGGTATACTCAGCAGTCCCAAACTCAGCACAGACACCCCATTTTTCTGACAAGGAGGACTCTGAGTTTTGCTACACTCAATATCTACTGTCCCAATGTGCAGCCAGAATATGCAGTGAATCTGTTGTAGTTGCTGATAAAGGGCATAAACAGAGGTATGTTGACTCCAAGGAGATGTCCCAGGTCACTTTGCATGTTCAGTGACAGACCGAACTGTGTCTCTTGTTATTTGCAGCCATGTGCTAAGCAGTTACTATTTTCAGAACTGTGGCATTTTTTAAAACCTGGAATAACATGACAAAATCCATTCTGTAAGGAAAGGGTAAAAATTCAGCTCAAATTATATTGTACACAACCCTGATATTCTGATCTATCTTGTATTGCAGCTTTAAAGTGCTCTATTTTAGAATCCATTCACTAGAAACAGTGGTGCTGCAGGAAGAATTGTGGCAGTACAGTTTGATGAAGGAAAAACCAAGGATAGGGATAACCCAACCATATGCCTCATCTCATGTGGAATTGAGAGGTGGTTCTATGCTGTGGCTGGATCGGATCCTGCATTTTGGTGATAAATTGCATTCCAGGGATCCCTGATATCTGGAACCTGATCTTTTCAGCAACAGAACAGAATGAACAGCAGATTTATTAAATATGGAAAGATAATATATAGTTAAGTGTTGACTGTTTGCATTTGGACCAGGTAGAGCCACTGGATGACAGGTACAAGATTTTTAGTCCTATGTTTGAATTTTCATTTGGGGGGGACATAATTACTGTCAAGTCCAAAAAGAAGAAAAAAAATCCAGCCAAATTCCCAAATATCTCTAAGTGCCAATGGCATTCCTTAGGTGACACAGGGATTGCTGTCTGTGGGAGCTGTGTGCTCAGCAGTGACCTGGGGGTGGGTGAGGCCACTAGGATGGTTGTCCTCGGGGTCTGTAGAGTTTGGTCTCCTGAAGGTGCTCTGAGACTGTGCAACCCCAGTTTTGGCAGGATTGGAGCTGGAGGCAGAGTGGATCAAATAAAGACACTTGGTTCTTGGTGAATCCATGCTGTGCAGTGACCTGGTGATTGTACAGGCTGGGACTTACCGGGGTGTTCTCCAAAAATGGGCCATGCTGCAAATTGAACACAACATTTCACATTTTAGGAACTGTAGAATGAGAGAATGGATTGAAAGGGGCCTTAAAGCCCATCTCGTTCCAACCCTGTAATTTGTGGGGTGCACTTAAGCCAACTGTTTGGGTGTATGTTCTTCAAAGTTCTGACCCATAACGTTCATATCTGTCGGGGAAATCATATTATATTTATTACCACCTTTCAAATGCAAAAAATAAATGGCTTAGCTGAATATTTATATCAAGGTTGTTGTCCACATGGGAACCCCCAAAGTCTGGAAGTTCCTCCTTGTGCAGTAACACAGGGCTGCTACCCCCATGGCTCTGGGGCCACACGGAGCAGTGGCGCTGCTGGTCGGGAATATGATCCTAATACTCAATGAAAGGATGTCTCACAACTTCTGCAACAAATGCAGTTTGTTTCTCAAGGGTTTAGAACTTGGCAGGATCTGTCAGAGCTAGACAGCTTTTTTTTTAAACTGTTCAATAGATTTTTTTTTTTCGAATCATTGCTGTTTTTAAGACACAGGAGTGTTAAAACCCATCATAGTGACAGCTGCTTTTTTGCACATTTTCTGAGCAAGTGTTCTAGATAGACAATGGCAAATGTTCTGCTACCAAAACCTCCATCGAGTCCACAGAACTGTGTTATGAAGAATGTGTATACCAAAATATGTATTTACATGGATAAACAATATGCCTTAAAGACTAAATATGCATTTACTTCTAAGGCTGGATAAAACTTATGCCCAGTCTGGAGGTAAATAATCCAAATTTCACAGCTGCCATGGAAGGCTTTGTTTCTTTGGAGAAAAAAGGGGGGAGAAAAAGCATTTCTTTTAAAAGAATCTTAAATAATTCTAAAATTCTTGCATAAACTGATATATATGAGGAAGTTTAGGAAAAGTATGGAGTTTAGCCTGACACTTCAGCACTGGCAATGCAGGGCTTGCCGTGGGGGCTGTAGTGCCACTCAAAACCTGGCACGACCCATTTGATGTCCCCTTGTACACTCAACTCTCTCAAGTGGCTCTGAGCTGGGGCAGAGTGAGGGGCCTGCGTGGGCCCCCATCCCACAGCACTGTGGGAATGGGGCCACCTCCCCACCCCGTGCTACTACTGGCAACACAAAATAGTTTAAAACAAGAAAATGTTACAAAAAAATAGAATTTAAAAAAACCCCAGGAATTAAAAATTCTCCACTCAGCCTTAATATTGAGAGCAGACAGATCAGTATTGGTGTGGGAGGGAAGAATTTGCTTTGAATTTGACCAGCCATGAGCATGTCCGTGGCAGGGGCAGGCCTGTATTTGGGTTGGGTTTGGTCCTTATTTATGTTCCTCTGTTGAGCTTTGAGGGCAAGGGAGGGGATTTATTCTGTAATCAGCAAAGTCTATAATCTAAGTGGAAACGACCAGGCCAAGGCACTGGCACATGGTCTGGGAATGGTTTGGGAGGGATTCTCAGTAAATCCTGCTCCAAGAGTTCTGTCTGAGCAAGGGCAGGGGAGGTTTTACAGGGGCACCTTCAGCGCTGAGCACGTACCTGTTTGTTCCTATACCCTTATGCCTAATTCATGAAGAGCTACAAGGTTCCTTTTTATTAGATAATTCTCATGTTAAAAAATGCAGAGATCAGCACATTTGCCACTTCTCATAAGCTTAGTTTTCAGTCATTCATATTTTAGAGCATATTAAGCTTTCCCATCACTGGGTAGGATGAAAATCTGCATTACAGGATGGGGTGGGGGAGTGAGGGGGATGATTCCCACCCACTCTGACTGCTCTGCCTTTGTCTGGGAAGGAGCTCAGTGAGGCTGTGGGGTCTCTGAGGGGGCCTACAAGGGGTACACATCAGTCCCCAGCCACTCTGCAGCCATTGCACAGTTGCTCCACAACTCCTGAATTATCCCTGAGGTTTTAAGTCAATTTATGCCCAGAGCCATCCTGGTGATGGGAGAAATGCAGGAGGGACTTTCTCCTTGGCTCCCTCCCTGCACAGCGCTGGGTTCTCCCACACAGTGAACTTTGAACCACCCACAAGCAGCAGTGAAAACCAGCGCAGTTAACAGGGATTTCCTTGCAGTCCCTCAGTGCCTCAGCCCCAGGCAGTGGGAGGTAGGTACACCTTGGCCCCCAGTAGCAGAATAAATTACACTCCTGCAGCAGCCAGAATTTAAGGACAGGGAGGAGGGGACAGCACATTGCTGCTCCAGCCCCAACAGCCACAGGACTTTCCCCTCTTATCAGGCAAATATTAGAGTCCTCATTATTCCTACCCTCTTCCTATGCTGCCAGATAACAAACTGCCTGTAATGATGATGAATATTCTCCTCAGTATCTAGAGGGGGAAATCTGTTCTCTCCTAATGCTCATTCATCCCTCTCTTTATTATTTTTCAGCCCAAACCAAAACACAATTCACACATTACACACCACGATTTATGTGCAATAACATCAGTTTTTCCACTTCTCAGCCCCATTAGAGTCAGAAACACATCACTCCCATTAACCTCCACGACAGTGACTTAAATGTGAACCACAAGTGAGAATAACCCTCCAAGATGAGCTGGAACAGCAGCAGCCTTGATTTCTGGTGGGTGGCTGAGGATGAGATGGCAGGGCCAGGCTTCCCTCCCTCCATTCTGTATATATGTATCCAGGTTTTTTATATGAAACAGACTTCTCTCTCCTTCAGGGTGGTTAATTCTGGCTGGGAGGTGCAGCCATTCAGATGTGTTTGATATTTTGGATGTGTCAGTCCAGGTGGAGCCGTGGCACAGGCAGGAGAGCGAAAGGCAGTGGGAGCTGCAGGACAGGCTGGCTGTGCCACTTGAGCCTAATGAGACAGTTCCTGGCAGGAATTTGGGTTCGGCAGAAACTGTGGGAGGCAGCTCAGTTCATTAGGCTGTGAAAGCTTTAAAACCTTCAAGAAACTGGTTCTCCTCTCCCATCTAAGTGAGTTGCTAAAAGCGCTGAGTTGCTCTTCCATAGAACTTCGAATTCACTGTTTCCTTCATTATCCTTGACCTTTTTACATGTATTACCATAAGGAAAAACCAAGTTAACTTCGGAGGAAACTACTGCAAATTCACCCCCCCCCAACCTTTTAAAAACAGAGAGCCTGGGGCGCTGGGCCAGGGGAGCAATGGATCTAATTTGCCACTATATTCTGTATAAAGAGGATTTAATGTCTACTTGCTAAAAATTACAGATCGTAAGTCCCTGTGACTCATTTCTAAATGACTTCTAGCAAGACAGGTGCACAAATCCTCCTCAGCTTTGTGTTATGAGTAACAGAAAGACAAATGGTGTGATGGGACAAGACACCTTTCCATGTGCTGCTCCCAAAGCCTTGGTCCCTGTGTCTTGATCCTCATCTCTTGGTTCCCTTCTTTTGGCTCCCCTTTCTTTGTCCCCATCTTTTGGTCCCTGTGTCTTGGTGCTTGTTTTGGTGCTCATCTCATGGTTCCCATCTCTTAGTCTCCGTCTCTTGGCCCCTTCTCTTGATCCCCATCTTTTGGTCCTCATCACTTCATCCCTGTCTCTTGGTCTCCATCACTCGGTGCCATTCTCTCCCCAGCCACAGAGAAGGGGAAAGCAGGAGAGCGGGAGGAGGAGGCTGCAGCTCTCAGACTGAGCTCCCAACCCGTAGCATGGAGCTTAAAACCAGGCATCAGGCAGTCACCAAAGACAATGGAGTGTCCTTCCTTGTGCACTGAGGTCTGAGCTCTCACCCTCTCTAACAAGAAGGGCTCTGAGTTCAACCCAAACAAACCCGAAAGCTCCGTGAAGTCCTTCTGACTCAGCCAAACTTCCCTCCCCAAGCTGGACACATCCGCTCTGCCACCCTTGAGGGTGGGGTGGGGGGACAGTGCCCTTCCATCAGCTGCAGCAGGGCAGGGATGGCTGATGAGACATGGTGTGGAAAAGACACCTGAGTTTTTCCAGTCTATCGATTTTTGTCATGGGAGCTTCAATAAGTGTCTCAGTCTCTGTTTCAATGCCTTAAGCACATTTTTGCAAAAGGCCACGATGTAAGAAAGTACATTTAAGAAATTAATTTCCCAAAGTTAATCATGCTCAGTGACTCGGCTCCGGCACAGCCGCTCCCCCAGCAGCTGTGGCTCCTCAGGAAGTGCGACGGCGGCAGCACAGTCAAGAGGCTTTGAGGAGTCTCCTGGCGTGGTATTTCTCTCCAGAATATTGCAGATAAGTCACTTAATTCTCCTGAAAATAAATCAGCTAAGGGCTTTGACCTTCTGTTTGAATGCAGAATTAGCACTCCGGGAAAGGTTAATGAACAGAAGGGAGTAGGGAAATTTGCACTGAAATACTCCTGAAATGTGTTTAAACACGTGCAGGTCTCTGGGCAGGTCTGTGGCAAGAGGAACTGCTCCCGTTGTCCCCTGTGGCCACCAGGACAACCTTCTCAGAGAGGGGGAAAGGGAAAAGAAGAAGGAGAATTTCCTGCCAGAGGATAGGAAGGGACAGGGTTTCACTGCAGGTCTTGCCCATGGGAGACTTGTCTTGGTTCTCAGCTGAGACCTCCACAGAGAACACAAGACCTTCCTCTGGGCATTCAAAATGTGTTTGTCTTCCTGACAAACTGATCTTGAATTACAATTCATTTCTTTGCTTCCCCATGAAGCTGATGCACATTCAAAGTAATTATTTTGCCATATGGTGAAAGGTGAAAAAATTGCTGTCAGGCCTCTCATACTCGGCATCTCAGCCCCTTTAGCAAGGATCTCTTTTATGAGTGTTGATTTGGCCAATTCCGGTAAAAAAACAACCCAACCTTCCCCCCCCACCTCCAGACTTTGTCAATTTCTAATTCCTCTTCCTCCCAAAAATCATGGCATCACTGCTGTAAATGACAAATCATAATGGTAAATACCGGGATGAGTCCTCAAAGGAATGGCAAGAACTAAGGCCGCTATAATTTAATAATCACTTTATTGTGTTCATGACTTGTGTCATCAGAGGTATTTTACCTGCATTTAATGCTCATGCTTTTAGCAAAACCTGGGAGTTGTGACAAGTGCTTTAATATACCAATAGATTACAAATATTGTGGGAAGAAATCCCTTCTACAGGCTGAGGCAGAAAAGCAAAACCAAAACATACCCCAGTGGGTCGTGAAGCAGGCACTGCTCAGTACCAGGCCAGTGACTTCCTCATGGAATCATAGACTGGTTTGGGTGGGAAGGAATCTCAAAGATCATCTAGTGATGATCCAGTGCCTTTGGAAGGGTTAATAAGAATAAAACGAGTATTAGGAAAAAAACCCCACATTTGTCATTTGTTAAATGTCGAGAGACACCATCTGAAAACAAAAGCCAAGGCTTGGAGGGAGCGAGCCAAGTCTGTGTGTAATTATCCCTTGAATATTCAAAATATTGTTATTAAAACAACTTTCAGCTCCAATTCCAGTGCAATAATCACACCCAGTGTAGAGACATGTAAAGAATATATATTTGCTCTATAGCAGGATGTGTTTGCGCTCCAGTGTGGTAATGGCAGCTTCCCTGGCACCAGGCAGGGGGACACCAGTCATCCTGCAATCCCAAATCCATCAAACCCTTAAAAGCCCTCCAAATTTTCTGCAAACCTCAAACCCCAAGGTTTGAGTTGGTGACTAAGGGACAAAGAGCAACTCATATCAAAAATGAGTCTTAGGCAAGATTCTGGGAAGGGTTGGGATTGCTCTCAGCTCCTGTCCTCCACCTTTTCAACTGGGGCATCTTCCCCTTTTTTCCCTGCTCCAGGATAAATTCCTGGAAATAACAGAAAGAGCATTCTGTTAGAGGGAACATCCTATAGAGGCGTAACATCCTGAGTAGGAAATAACACCCAAATGTCAAATTCACATTCAAGGATGGGTATCCCATGCCACTGGAGACTGGAAATAGACCTGCTGAGGTGTCCCTCTGTGATGATGGAGTCCACCCACCTTCTGCCCACACAGGGCTCTGTGGCAGCAGAGAAAACCCATCCCAGTGTCCCTGTAAACCCATCCCGGTGTCTCTGCAAACAGCCCCTGCCTTGTCCCACCTCCCCCAGAGGAGGGTGATGCTCTCAAAGACACAGCACCCAACTCTTATCAATAACTTATGCAAATGCACTTAGCAAAGTGCTCCCGCAGATGTTCTTAATTAAACCAGCCCAGCCCAAGCCCACATGAAGCAATAACCCCCAAAATGCCTCCCTGCTCTCATATGTTCTGAACCACCGCTCCAGGATACTCCAGGAATATTATTTTTGTAAGAGTAAACGATTTGCTAAATAAGCCACCTGTTAAATAAACACTCCCACTCTCCAAATATTGTTATTTTGTTTTCCAGACTATGCACAATCTGGATTTATTTTAGATGAAAAAAGGTAATCACTAAAGCAGGAAAAGCCCCAAAAAACAGTATTTTGACTATTTACAACTATCCGTCTTGTGTGCACATCTGCTCCTTTGCAAGCTGGTAGAGCTCTTCCATTAAAAGAGATTCACAGTTCCTTATTCAGCCGGGGGCTAATGAATTTCTTTCATCAGGCCTCATCACTCTTCCTTTTTCTTTAACTTCTTCAAGCCTTGAATTGCTCCTCATTCCCCCGAGTTCCCTTTCTGTATCTTCTCATAGGGACAAATCCCCATCCAAGATCACTTTAGCAAAGTTGCCATGGGAGTAAGGACAGAGTTTGTCTCCTGTTCCATCATGCTTTAAAAGCCAAGTTCACCCTTATCCCACCTCAAATCTGTCTGTACAGGAACATCCTGCTGCACCACAGCCCCTGGAAACCTTCAAATTAGTTTGATAGTATGGATGGCCACTCAAAAAAAAAGGCCCCAAAAAAGATGAATGGAATGGAATGGAATAGAATAGAATAGAATAGAATAGAATAGAATAGAATAGAATAGAATAGAATAGAATAGAATACTGCAGTTGGAAGGGACCCTACAACAATGATTTAGCTCAAGTACAGGATGTTAAAAGCCAACACTGCCCTTAGAGCTGATCCCTGGCCCCTTCTCTCCATTGTGATGAATAAGCTAGGTCAGACAGAATCATGGAATTGTTTAGGTTGTAAAAGCTCTCTGAGCCCATCGAGTCCAACTGTTCTCCAGCACTGCCAAGGCCACCACTAACTCATGTCCCCAAGTGCCACATCCACACAGCTTTTAAATCCCTCCAGTTATGGGGACTCCATCACTGCCCCGGGAAGCCTGTGCCAGTGCCCGACCACCCTTTCCATGAAGAAATTTTCCGTCATCCAAACTAAACCTCCCCTTGCACAGCTTGAGGCCATCTCCTCTTGTGCTGCCTCTTGTTCCCTGGGAGCAGAGCCTGACACCCACCTGGCTCCACCCTCCAAGGAGCCACTAGCACTTTCTGAGTAGTGTGTGCAGACACAGGGATTTTAAATTACTTCAGGGATTTTCTGTCCTCGTATCTGACAATTACATCTTGTTGTCTCAAATAATTACTCAGCTCTGGCAGAGGTTTGGGGATCCCTGGGGACATCCTGCTCCTGCTCTACCTGCACAGAAAGCCTGGCTGACGTGGGGAGAGGCTGTGCAGGCTCTTATCCTGTGGGAATAATGGCACATGAGATCAGCCCCATGGAAATCTGACTGATTGGCAGTAAAAGCTAGGAAGGTGATCATCTAAGTGTATAAAATGTGGCCATAAAGACACTCAGTCATTATGAGCTCAGGAAATTGCAGGCACAGAACTGGCCCAAACTGCTTTTCCCAATCAGCCCCATTATCCATCCCCTGGTCTCTCTCACAAAGAGCCTTTGTGAGCACAGTTTTTTGGGGCTGTTTTACATATTCACATATATTTTCCTGCTCTTTGACACTCACCACCCAGCAGCTTGGCTCCATAACCTGTAGTGGATATTTTTCCTGTGCCTTCTGAATGAGGCAGTGGCAAAATCCTCCAGGCAAGTCTCACGCTGACCTTAACAAGAACCCTTTCTTCGCCCAGTTTTCACCCAGCTACAGGTTTACCAGGATCTCTTAAACACTAAAACCCATCAGCTCATGATATTTTTCCAGTTGTTTTTATACATCTTGACTCTAATGAAGATTCTGAGCAAATTTCACAAAGCCTGTGTTACTCATTTCACCTCAAATGCAGTTCATGAATTAATGGTGTCTGTTAATTGGGCTGCTAATCCTTCTCCCAGGAAAAAAAAACAAAAACAAAAACAAAACAAAACAAAAAAACCACTAAAAATATCATAATACTTCTCATTTTTAGGTACCATGCTGTAATAAATGAGAGGCTTTAATTAGAGCAGAGTAAGCTCAGTATATTCACATACATATATATGTACATGTGTAGGATAAAAGAAGAGAGAGTTGGACCCTTTTAAGACAGACCCTTTCCTCAACTCTCCATCTCAGCCTTTTCCACAAAGAAATCCAGGATTTGTTTCATTCAAAGGATAGACTTTAAATTTCTATACTCCTGTCAGGGCAGCATTAAATATTAAAGCCAGATATTAAAATTTCAAGGAACCTAAATTAAACCTGAGGTATTCAAAAATAAGTGTCCCTGAATATTTCATGGTAAAGATTTTGTAATTAGCTTCAGAAATCTCTCACATGAAGAAAGTGAGGAACTACCTAATAAAATGTGACCATCCCAGCGACCTTCCAGAGGGCTGCTCTCCATCCACTGAAGGATTTATATTTCTTGGGCTCCATGACATCTCTATGGCTTCCCAAAGAAGCCTTGCCAGCCCATTGTCTTCTTCAGGCTGGAAAACCCCCAGAGCATCCCAAGTGTCCCATCCCTCATGCAATAAACAGACTTGTGTGTGGAACCAAAGGGGCCAGGACTCACCAGAGCAGTTCACCAACTTCAGATTTAATGAGACAACAAGGAGATATTATTTTTGGTTCCTTTAACTTTGAATGTCCTGTGAAAGACTCCTGGATTTACTAAGGAGGAGGAGCAAAACAGCCCAAATCAGGATAGGGTTTGTAGCCTCTGTAAGTAGGATTTCCTCCATTATTCAGAAGGACAGGCTGACATCCAAGGAGCAATTGCCCATTAGTGTCCTCCAAAGATCTTCCAGCTGGACCACTCTCAGTTTGCCACCAGCATCAGATTGTTTACAGCTAACACTGATAACATCTGCTCCTGTCTGCACAGAAAGCTTTGGGAGAGACATCCATGCCAGCAGAGAGCTGGCCCAATATTTCAGTGTCAGCATGGGAAAGCAGCTAAAAAATACCCCAACATATAATACAACAATTTAAATGAGGGTGTCTGTCTGAGCTTGGGAAATTAATGTGTACTAAAATCGTCTGAGAAGATGCAAAAAAATAGTAACCAGCTCTAACTCAGTGCAGCGGCAGCAGCAGCATTAGGGCATCTCTTCCTCCCTTCACCTGAGTTCTTGGGGCTGTGAAACAACCCTGTTTATAACGCACTTCCTAGAAATTCATTATATAAGAATTAGAATTCGTTACTCTAAAGGCTGTTTATGTGCATTTTTGTAAGAGGAAAGTTGCTTTAAACCAATGCTGTGCCAAATTTTTACCTCTCTTGGAGAATTTGAGTTCAGCAAATAAGGCCAGTGATGTGCAGCACAGCTTGTACCCAGCCAGAAGGCCCTGGGTGCTGTCCTAGGTAGCCAGCTGACAGTCTGTGCGTGTTAAGGCTGTGGACTAAGCCTGAGCTACTGTTTAAAACTGCATAATTAACCATACATAATTAGCAATACCCTCAGAGAAGCAGGTTCCTGGGATCATGAGTGCCATGTGCTGCCTCTACTGAGCCCACATCTGCAGATAAGGGGGATCCTGCTATTGGAAGCTCTTATACCTGTGGAAATCTAATAGAGATCAGTGTAAATAGAATACAAAAAGTAAGTCATTGCCTTCAATCACTGTGAAGAGGCTTAAATGCCTTCCCAAAGGAGAATATTGGTCTATGACAATGGGCAGAAGATAAAGAGCAGATTCAATGGTACAGACTGTAATTTAATATTCACAGTTTGTCTAATCAAAGTAAACACACCCTTTCATAGGAACATGTAAAAGTTATTGAATTATTGTGGAAAAGGGAAAGAAAGTTGTCAGCTTAGTCAGTGGTGAGACAAAATAATTACCAGCCTTCAGAAGTTACAAAGGAGACTACTGGGGCTTGAAGCCATCTCTGGAGGAGATCAGCTCAAGGGACACCTGGGGACAGGGGACCACCTCTGCCCACTGTGGGGCCACCACTCCAGCAGTACCTTGAGGACATGCGACAATTTCAGTTATTGCTCCAGAACCTTCTCCAATGCACTTGTTCTCATAAAATATCTTGTGGCTTTCTTAGGAAAGCATGGAATCATGGAATGGGTTGGGTTGGGAGGGACCTTAAAACCCATCCAGTTCTACACCCTGCCATGGGCAGGGACACCTTCCACTATCCCAGCTTGCTCCAAGCCCTGTCCGACCTGCCCTTGGACACTTCCAGGGATGGGGCAGCCACAGATTCTCTGGGCAACCTGTGCCAGGGCCTCACCACCCTCACAGGGAAGGATTTCTTCCCAATATCCCATCCAACCCTGCCCTCCCTCAGTTAAAAGCCATTATCAGAATATAGAGTAAACCAGGGACCCAGCAGGGGGTTGGTGACTCTTCCAGTTTGTCCCCAGTGCCATCATGGGAGCCTTTGCTCCAGTGCAGTGATATTGTGGGAGTGTTACAGAACAGGGCAGGGCCCTGGCAGGGACAGCAGAGCATGAGGGACAGCAGTGACTCTGATTTATATCTCGGGGGGAATTAATTCATCATTCATGCAGGACTTACCACGGCAGCAATAAATCAGTTTGTCTGATAAAGGCAGCAGCACTAAAGAATTCTGGGATCTTTTGCAAGACTGGAAGATGCAGCCTCTGTCTCCCTTCCCTCCTCAGCCCTGCTCAGTGCTCAGAGTGCTGCCTTTGGAAAGGGTCAAGGGCAGAAAACAGAGCAGAAAAATCCTTGAAGGCATCATGGAATAGAATCACAGAATATCCTGAGTTGGAAGGAACCCAAAAGAATCATCAAAGTCCAACTCCTGGACACCAGGTTCATGCCACACTGCAACAAGTAACTGATATAATCCTTATTTTTCCTAAGATAGTTTCAAAACAGTGAGTTCAGAGTTTGCAAGCCATGTTTATGCCCTTTTTCCTTCATTCTCAGGTGGTGGGCAGCTGTGGTTTTATTTTGCACCAAGTTCTTTCTCTAATATTCATCCCCAATCGTCAACAAAATAAGTTAATAGATGTAGGCGACTGTAATGACAGTAAATGCTGTGTGGGAGGCACCATCCACGCTGCATTGTCAGTTCCTGCATGTGAAATTAAATACCCTATTCCAGGCAAATGCTAATATATTCCAGGAGCACTTTTCCACAAACAGATTTTTAAAAGGCAGTAGAATGAAAAGGTGATATTAATGATACATTGAAATAATCTGATGGGTGTGAGGTTAGGATCCTGGTTTTTTTCCGGAGGGTCTCTCTTGCTATTGGCATGAAATGATCTGAATGAAAGAAACATCCAGGGTCACATAATTGCTGCCCAAAAATGGTACAGTGGCATCAACCTTCATTTGTGAACAGGATGTTCTCTTATAAATGAGCTTTGCTGTTGGAGTCAGAGTCATGTGACACATTACAGCCTGGCTTCTGCTGAAAAATTAGGTGAAAGACAAAACATAAAATCATCTCAGAATACCAGACTGGTTTGGATTGGAAGGGACCTCAAAGCCCATCCCTTTCCACCCCTGCCATGGGCAGGGACACCTTCCACTATCCCAGGTTGCTCCAAGCCCTGTCCAACCTGGCCTTGGACACTTCCTGGGATGGGGTAGCCACAGCTTCTCTGGGCAACCTGTGCCAGGGCACCCTCCTAGGGAACAATTCCTTCCCATTATCCCATCTAAATCCCCTCTCCTTCAGCTCAAGGCCAGGGCTGGGCTCCTGCAGTGCAGGGCAGAGCATTACCCTTAGGTTTAACAAGCAGTGCCTGTCTTTGAGAGATTGTAACTATTGATTATTCCTCTGCCCTGATGGACTTTGGATTTTTCTCTCCTGTTTTACACGGCAGCAACTGGGAAGCTGAGAATACAACAGCATACTGAGCCCTGAGCAAAAACACTTCAGGTTCTGGTGCATCTTGCTTATATTTTAATTACTCCACTAATACAGGGAAGATTTTGCAAAGCAGTGCCCTGCATAACACCTTGGTTTGGAGCCATATGTTCGTCATTCCACAAAATATCTTTCCTTGGTGATCCAGAGCACAAGGCTTAGCACATTAGCATATGATAAGACAATTTAAAAGAATAAATAAGCTCAGCATTAAGCAGCCAACACGACAATAACACCTGAGTGATGCAGCAGAGATTAGAGCTAAAAATAGCTTAGAAAACTAAAAATACTTGCAGACAAGTAATGAAAGTGTGGTTTTAAGGTGATTTATTAGGAATTATGAAGTAGTCCTGGCTTTGTGCTGAGCTGTGAACAGTGAAATTGGAATAAACAAAATAATCTTGCTGTGTTAATAACTTCCTCTAAACTCCCCATATGTATCACACTCTCTCTGGTTGCCAAGTGAGGACCATGACTTAAAGGAGAGATTCTGTTTAAAATCTTTATCTAACTAGAAAGAGAAATGAGTGAAGGTAGAGACACTGACCCTGCTCATGGGAATGGGGAAGAAGGTGCCAGGGGCTGCTCCAGGAGGTAATTCCACCCCTCCAGGGCAGAACTTGGCTGTTCTGGGTTGGAGAGGGACAAATGAGAATCACAGAATCACAGAATAGTTTGGATTGGGAGGGACCTCAAAGTTCATCCAGTCCCTCCCTCTGCCGTGGGCAGGGACACTTTTCACTAGACCAGGTTGCTTTAAGCCCCACCCAATCCTGAACAGCCTTTGCTTCACTTGCTGACCATGCCACACTCAGTGATGGTCTTTCCAATACCTCTTGGCCAGGAAAATGAAGGAAATGCCAGTCTCCAACCCTGAGTGTTTCAGGTTAAATTTGGAAGCAGAGATCCTGGTTCAGATATCCTGTCCCCACCCCAAGGCTCCATGGGGCTAGTTTGGCAATTCCTCTCAGTGTCCTTTGTGCAGCAGCTCCCCCAGGTCTCAGCACTCAGTGACATGTGGGACTGCACACAGCTGCCAATAAATACATTGGCTATGACAAAGGACTTTTATAGCAGCAGACTTTTAGGGAAGAGAATAAAACATACACTAGAAATCCTGTTAACAGTGTTGGTCATTACTGCAAGAGGGAAAACAGCTTTCCCAGGGATTTGATTTCTCTTTTTCTTCCTAATGGGCCCTGCTCTCTCCCCATCACCAACAGACAGTGTTGAATATTAACATTTACTCAGCAGTTATCAGGTTTAGATTTCTTCATAACACCAGTGATTCCAATAACATTGTTGCTCCACTCCCATATCATTTCTTTGATAAATATGGATAGTGATCTGGCACCAAAGCTCCCAGTGATGCTGCAGAAGGACAAGGGAGGGCATTTTGGTTGATTCAGTCCTGTGCAGACTCATGAAAAACTATGTTAAAGCATCATCAAAGAGGGTTTTGCAAAATAGTTGCTCCTCAATTTTTAAAACAACAAAATCTAGTATTTTTGAGGATCTCCAACATCTCAAGCACAGAATCACAGAATCAGAGAACTGTTAAAGTTGGAAAAGCCCTCCAGGATCATTTGAGTCCAACCTGTGACCGATCCCCACCTTGTCACCCAGCTCAGAGCACTGAGTGCCACATCCAGTCGTTCCTTGGACACCTCCAGAGATGGGGACTCCACCACCTCCCTGGGCAGCCCGTTCATTCTGTGAAAAAATAGATTTAAATGTGTCACTGCAGCTGCTGCAGCTCCGTTTGCCCTCTGTGAACCAGAGTCAAATGGCATCAGAAGGGGACAGGACAAGGACCAGCCTAGACATTTCCAATTAAAACTGGAGGAGCAAATTATTCAAAAAAGTCTTAGTTATTGTTACCCATGCAAAACAAACAGTAGATGATGAGTTCTGTGAGAGACAGAGTAAAGCTCATTTCTAGGACAGGAAAAATCTATTATGAATATCGATGAACACAATACAGCTGCTACAACCTACTGCTTATATTTTTCTACCAATTGGATCTATTATAGAATCACATAATTCCAGATTGTTTTGAATTGGAAGGGACCTTAAAGTCCATCCAGGCCCACCCCTTGCCATGGGCAGGAACAACTTCCACTACCTCAGATTGCTCCAAGTCCCATCTAACCTGGCCTTGGACACTGCCAGGGATGGGGCAGCCACAGCTGCTCTGGGCACATAACAGTGTGTTATATTTTTTACTACACCCAGGGAGTGGAGCACTGTTGCATCTGTTAAACTTATTTGCATGAGGGGTGAGGATATGGAGCTGATATTCATGACCTAATCTCCCTGTCAGCTTCTGAAAGCTTGAAAAGCTTGAGAGATAAACCCCAATCTGAGCGATCACGCAGCAGCTCCCGATTACACAGCTCAAAACACCCAATCAAAGCACGTGTATGAGCAAAGTCACTGCACTGTTAATGCCTCCCTTTCAAAAAATTAATGCACCTGAGCGTGGCACCGACACAGGTCACAGAGGCAGAGCCCATGTAAGCTCCAGGAGCTCCCACACAGCGCATCACTGCAAACTGTTTACTTCCATGGCAAGTGCTAAATCCTAAGGTAATGAATGGATATTGAATGTACAGTGGGCTTGGAGTTCCATCTCCTCGGTCCCTTCGTTTTGGCAGGTTTGATCTGGGTGACCTTTCCTCAGCAGGGGTTTGCTGTTTAATTATAAGCTGGAGGAGCTGGGCTGTGCAATGGAATCGCTCCGTAGCCAGCGTTCCGTGTAACAGGGGCTGCCTGCTGGGAGCCAGGCAGGGATCACCCAGCAGGGCCCTCCTGAAATCACTCAGCGGAATTACAGCGCTGATGGCAAAGCTACTTAGGGCAAACAGGGTCAGGGAGGCATTAAGAGGCACGAAGGGGAGCCTGGCAATACCCACCCGCTGGGAACTCAAAGCCT